TGTCTCTTCCATATAATAGTTCATGTATAATTAGACATTACCATGAAAATGATGCATGCATGTTCAAATACGTTCCATTATGCTACACAACGTAATGTTCAGTCTGCTGAATCACCTGTATTCACAATTATATAATCCTCATATGTGAAAGTCCATTACAATATCCATATATTTTAATCAACCCCATCCAAGTGCACAGAACTGTTACTTTTGATAACACCACTTTGTGAGATACCGTCACCATCAGCCTCTCACCTGATATATATGACCTACTACACTTCAGTCTAATTGCACCTTTAACCCTTTTATCCCTGGGCTGTGGGGATTATCTTCCTGATGCAGACCAATCACCGGTATATATGTAGAAAGATAAAAACTAACATAGTGTATTCTGAAAAGACTCAATTTATTGAAAATATATAAAAAAACACACTCACAAGTCAAGTGCTCTATCCTGGTGCACCACAGATAAAAACCATGACTGAATACAATTTCTCCACATGAATGTGGCACCTGGTGGGGCCTCTGTAATGGTTCTCAGTGTTTTCCCTTCCACACTCTCACTAGCTGGTTACCTCCTGTATTAAGCAACCCGATGGGCTCTGTCAGCCATTCCTAGTATCACTCTTCCCACACCCTTATGCATAACGCCTACGTGGGTTCGTCAGAGGGTACCTTGGAAAGTAGATTGTCCAAGGTATTTAGTAAAAGGTATTGGTGTTTTTTTTAAGCTGTAATTTTTTCACAATCTTTTGAAAATGTGGAATAAAAATGAACATTTTAATTTTTTGTAAGTGTGGAGATACCACGTGTGAGACTTTTTCAAAGCCTAACCACAAAGAGAGGCCCAAAATCCAAGGAGCACCTACAGGCATTCTAGGGGTATAAATTACGGATCTAATTTCCTGACCTAGCTATAACAATTTTGTAGACCCTGGAGTACCAGGACAGGGGAAACACCCACACAATGACTACATTTTGGAGAGTAAACGCCCCATGGTATTTTTTAAGAAGCAATGTGAGTCTTTTGAAAACTGTTTTTCCACAAATGTTTAGAAAATGCAGAAAACATTAAAATTATTTTGTTACACAAAGTTGTTAATTTAAAAGAGGATATTTTTCCTACACAGCATAGGCATACTTAGAATCACACCTCATAACACAATCTGTTACTTCTGAGTATGGCGATACCACATTTGTGAGACTTTTCAATGCTTGGACAGGGAATATAGCTCAGTGTAGCATCACCTATATCAGTCCCTATCCCTATAAGCCAAGCAAACCTAGTCTACTGGTATGTGGCCGCCCCCAGGAATGCCATGTTCACTGGCCAGGAAAAACAGGAGCCTGAAAAAAGGAAGAACAAAATAGTTCCTGTGGTTCCAGTACTGTAGTTGTCCACAGGGGATAGCAGTAATTGTTGTCTCACCGGAACGTAGTCAGTGGGATATGCAGATTGGCTAGTTCAAGCAGCAGGCAGAGACATGATCAGCAAATAAGCGAAGGATCAATCAAGGCAGCAGGCAGGAACATGGTGAATAAACAGGCCGGGGTTAGTACAGGCGCCAGACAGAGGCAACACTGCACTGGTGTGGTGGTGATCAGGAACACTTGTTGGCTGCACAGGTCTGGTGACTCTGGGGACTAGTGTGCCAGCCATCAGGGATACTGTTGCTAGCTTACACTAGTCTGGTGACATTGTAACTGATGTGGCGGTGATCAGGATAACTGTTTGCAGATGAGGTGGCAATCAAGAAAACTGCTTCTAGCTAGATTTGTCTGGCAACACTGTGACTGGTGTTGTTGGTGATCGGAGGCATTGTGACTGGGTGCACATTTAGGGATAGTTCACAGGTAAGGTTTAGGGACACTGTGATTGGTGTGGTGGTGATCAGGGACACTGTGATTGGTGTGGTGGTGATCAGGGATACTGTGATTGGTGTGGTGGTGATCAGGGACACTGTGACTGGTGTGGTGGTTATCAGGGACACTGTGATTGGTGTGGTGGTGATCAGGGGTACTGTGATTGGTGTGGTGGTGATCAGGGATACTGTGATTGGTGTGGTGGTGATCAGGGACACTGTGATTGGTGTGGTGGTGATCAGGGACACTTTGGTGAGGTGGAGATTAGGGACACTGGGACTGGTGTGACAGTGATTAAAGACGCTGACTTGCAGTACTGATCTGGTGACATTGTACTGCTGTGGCGGTGATCAGAGAATGGCTGGCTGCACTGACATATAATGAAATCAGAGCAGCTGCCATTGTACATGATCACCACCACAGCAGTACAGTATAGTGACACTGAACTTGCAATTTCTGTTTACATATGGTCACCAGGGCAGTGCAGTGCTCCAGGGGTGGACGGGAGAGGGGGGTTATTGTTTTTTGTTTGTTTTTTTTAACATTGCCATTGCTTACACAGTAATGATCACTGTGTATGCAATCCATAATACTTTTGAAATGATTTAATTCATTCAACCTTTGTTTACTACTGTGATCGCTGTGATTGGTCAGCCATCATATGGTGCAGGGCAAATTTCATTGAGTGGCTAAAGTGTGGGTATGCATGGGTCTGTCCTCCCAGAACAGCACTTGTCCTGCCCGGTTGTACATGTACAGTGGACAGGTGGCAGGAGGTTAAAGCAGTAACAAACCCAGAGACATAAATGTAATATATTGCAGCTTACCAATCCTTAGACAAGGTGGCTGCATTACGTTTATTTTTTTCCCCCTTTATTTGCACTGGATGATCCAGTCAGTAAGTCTGTTATTTTTCAACTTCCTTTAAGAGACCGAGCTCTCCAGAAAAATTAGCAGTTACAGAATTGAGACAAACCATTTATCACTGACAGGGGTGCTTACTATGATCAGCTTTTATTCATCTATGTAAAACCTTTATCTCAAAAGGAAAAAAGCTGTTGCTGAAACTGTTTATAAATTGTAAGCTGCAGTTCTGCTTTAATGTGTTAACCAAGTCCATCTAAATCTGCAAGTTCAGCTAGCACTGGTTGCTGCAACTGCTTATAAAGTTTTAGCTGGAGTTCAGCTTCAATTTGTTAGTCAAGCCCATCTAAATCATCTAACACTACCCTATCCCCAGAATACCAATGCCCAAAGGTGTCTCCTTGCTCCTCCATTCAGAGTGGAGACATAGGAAGTGTGTTACTGGCTGGATCACCAAGTGAAATAAAGGGGAAAAATCATTAAAAAAACGAATACAACCACCACAGGTAAGGATTGGTAAAGTGCAATATATATTTGTTTTGGTGTATAATGCTGCTTCAACAGTCCATAATGGTGCAAGAAATGAATTGTTAAAGCTTACATACCCTTTAAAGAGGACTTCCAGTCTCCCCCCCCAAAAAAAAATTGAAAAGTCATCAGCTACAAATGCTGTAGCTGCTGACTTTTAATAAAAGGACACTTACCTGTCCAGGGATCTAGCGATTTCCTCACCTGAGCCGATTCTTCAATCAACTTTGGGTGCAGGCATGGTATCTTAGGTAAGGGAAACTGGCAATTCCAACCTCACAGCCAGTTCCCTACTGTGCATGCACGAGTCACGCTGCACTTTGTGATCGGTCCTAGTCTTTGGGACCTGTGATGTATCCCAGCAGGGGGAAGTAGAAGCAGCTGAACATTGGCGCGGTGATCTGACCAGAAGTGGGAGCGAATACCTGTCAAAACCAGGTACCCACTCCCCCCCCCCCCGCAAAAAAAAGTGCCAAATGTGGTTGTGGATGGGGGAAGGATGCAAACAAGCGGAACTTCCCCTTTTGGGAAATTCTGGTTTATGCTAGGTTCACACTTAAACGTTTTTCTTAGCGTTTTGCATTTTGCAGAAACGCTCTACAGTCCATTTAACACAATTTCCTATGGGACAAGTTAACCCAGTGCATTTTTTGGCAAGGGTCAGGGACATTTTTAAACTCAAAAAGTAGCATTTTTGGTTCTATAGACTTCAATGGAAACACTGCAGAAAAGCATGTAGTGCGCTTTTGCTGCATTTTTGCCACGTTCTGCGTTTTAAATCTGTCTAGCAACAAGAGAAAAAGACAAAACAAAAAAGACGCAAAACGCATGTGCAAAGACACAAAATGTACCACAAAATGCACTGTAGAAATGGATCAAACGCAAATTGCATAGGTGTGAACCTAGCCAATTCACACTGACCTGTGCTGAAATGTATGGCAAGTGGATGTACATTTCCATCAACTTAAGTTGCATGCTGACATCCATTGACATTCATTTTGACATCTGTTGATATTTTAGCGTGCATTAAAGCGTACTGTATTTCACAGGATATTCCATGCATTGCAATAACATCCTCTTACATCTGTTGCATTGTGCTAAAATGCATTCATGTTGCATTTTAGGGCAACGCAGCATTATAGTGTGAACAGCACACATTGGAAATGATCTTTTTTTCAGATGTCCTTCTGTTGATCTGCATTTTACAGCTCCGATAAAATGCAGATCAATGCACTGGTGTGAATTGGCCTTAAGTATAGCAATGCACCAAACACTGAGAATGTTTTCTTGCAAATTACATATATTACAAATATTATGGGGGGGGGGGGGGGGTATTGTAACTGGAGAAAAGAAAGTGTTATTACCAACATCAGCCTTCACTTGTTATCTTTAATGAATGGAAAAGTAAAGATCTGACATCAGAAAGGACATAGGACTGAAAATAATGATCACTCATAACCTTTTACAACAATGGAGCCTGATATACATTGCTGGAGCCACAGTCCTCACATATCTGACACCTGTCATTTCACCTCCGTGTAAAGCATGGGAATGAGTTATGTGAACAATGCTAGAAGTCTGATCAGACACATAGATCCTAATGGTGACTAGAAGAGGCTGGTGATTTATTTGTGCTGTGGGTGTGATGTAGGGGGGTCCTGGTCTGTGTCCTCCATGCTGATGTCAGTGGAGGTAGGACCCTCTCCAGTATAAATCGTCTCCTCTGCAGGCTGGGAGAGGATTCAGCACCATGGACAGCGCCCGCCGCCACCTCCTCACTCTACTGAGCTCCACATTCCTCCTGCTGGTATTCCGAGCCAGCTGCGAGGAGACCGACTACTTGGAGACCAGATCGCTGGACTTCTACTCCCCCATAGACAACAGCGTCCACGAGAAGGAGCTGGTAGGTAGCACATAGGACTGGGGCTTCTATGTCAGGGTGTGCAGAGTCCAGGAACTTTCTGATTGCAGATATATTAGGTGTAGATGAGTGAATGTGTAGGTGGGTGCTCTATTAAAATGTCACTTTGGGTTTCTTAATGAGAGATATGTGAGGGTAGCCTCTATCTGGAACCACTTTCAGTCGATATGTGTTTATGTTCTCCTATGTGGATTTATGTTATGGATCTAGTTGTGAGTTCAAGAAAAGAAGTGCCTAGTGCAGCCATTCTCAATCAGAGTTCCTTCAGAGGCTGCTGGGGGTTCCCTGACTTGTGGCTGATGGACCTCTTATTTAAAGCTGAACTTCTGGAAAAGTAAAAGCACTCCCTTGTATTGAGACTAGTCCTGCACAGCAAGGACCAAATGCCTATTTAGGTCTAGGGAAGGGGAAGAGTAGAACCTGATCCCCCACTCCCGCAGGCTCCCTCTGCAATGCTAGACAGGTCCTGCAGCCTCTCTCATCTTCAAAAACAATGCAGAACCCACAGTCCTGCTCTGGACATGAGGATGCCAAAGGACAGTTCACTGCTATAAACATAGGGGAGCAGAGCAACAGGTAAGTAAAGCTGCTGTTCTTGGTCCCTAATGCTAGGTTCACACCTTGTGTGTGTCAGGAATATGCACAAAATCAAGCAATTTTCCAACGTGCATATTCGCTCTGCCCTTTAGCAGACACGCAGTGGTGCCATTATTTGTCTGCTAATGCTCATATTGTCACACGTGCCAAACCACACGGTCCTGCAACACCATGCAGTTTGGTGTGCTGCGATTTTGAAAAAGGCTCAGGGACTTCTTTTGCACTTTTCTCAGGTGTAGGGCAGCCCATTGAAATGAATGGGCTGCCTTACAAGTGACCCATAGGAATGCACTCATGGTGTGAATGGAGCCTCAGACCTAAACCAGCATTAACCCTTGCAGTAAGGTAGCAGCCCGACCGCAAGGGAGGATTTTACTTTCTCTGGAGACAGGCTTAAATGGTGCCTGCATGGTTTTAAATGCCACTTGGTAGAGCCAGTGGCATGACTCCAGAGACCTTTTTAGCTGTCTGTGAGGTTACATTCACACTAGTTTTGTCAGCAGGCATCACACAGGCATTTGGGAAGCGTTTTTAACACTTCTCAAACATCTATGAAAATTCTGCACATGGCAGCACACAGTACTGTTCACACAGACGCATTAGCATCGTGTCGCGTTGCATCATGGCAAAACTGACGCCTCGTATCCAGTCAGGAGGAGTTGAAGCCTCCCATTCAAGTCTATAGTGCCGCTCCGCAAACGCCTGGTAGGCATTTGCGGTGCAGTTGCAGAGTATTAATACCATTTAACTTCATTATAGGAGTTTGTGGTGCAGTTTTAACGCTTGGCAAACGCATATCAACCACCTCAAAACCATGCATAGGGTGTTTTGGGAGCATTTAGGGAGCTTTTGAGGAGCATTAAAAACACTTCCCAAACGCCTGTCAAATGCTATAGGGGTGTTTGGCAAGAATTAGAAACAAAGTCAAGTGTGAACAAGCCCTTAGGGGTGCATTTGCTCCAACTGACCACCAATATAACGGACATTTCTTCCCTCTGACCCTAAAAGAATTCATTTTAGCAGGGATTCCCAGAGACCTGGAAAAAAATTAAGGGTTCCTCTGGGTAATAAGGTTGAGAAAGGCGTGGTCTAGTACAGCCTCAATTTGGAACAAAATCTGTCATAGGAGTCAATTAGACGGTTCTCCTGCAAATGTTATTTGCCTGGCTGCCATGCTGACCACATTGTATCAACAGTAAAGGTCACTGATATGGAACAGGTAAGCAGATAAGGACTCATGATCTTTGTAAATATTCTCAGTTAGACAAACAGCCAGGCAACTAGCATTTTCAGAAGAAGGTAAGCTATTGCTTGGTTGTGTATATATGGTTACACCTGTGTGTACAAAATAATAGGCTGGTATGGATAGTTTGAGAAAGACATTGATATTTGCTTTATGGTAGATGTGTTTGTTTGTGTATCCCTGATAAACAGATTTTAAATGAAGTCTGACACTGAAATGTATATATATATATATATATAGATATATAATCTTTTTTTCTTTCAAGAAAAATAGGTGATCAGTGACTACAACTGGCCTTAGAAGTAAAACTGTAATAAAGGCAATGTGCATTATTGAACTGGAAAACGTTACTGATCTTTCCACATACAAGGGTACAGACCAGGGGCGGACTGACCTGACCTTCGGAAACTCAGGCACTGCCTGAGGGCCCAGGGTCAGTAGGGGGCCCCATAAGATGCCCCTGGTACCTTTTTCATAGCCTTTTTTGAGTTTGGGCAAGGACACAGGGGCCCCATGATCCCCTATTGCCCGGGGGCCCCATGAGTTGTCAGTCTATCCCTGGTACAGACATACAAATGATACTGCATATGTCTATGTACTGATCTGACACTCCTATGCTGTCTTGTTTTCGAGAAACAAAAGTAAATAGCCACTGAAATCTGGCTGAGCTCTTCCCTTAGATTCTTCTGGTCAGTGTCTGTACTGAGATCTATACATGCTCATATCAGTGATCATTTACAGATTGTGTGGAAATCTTTATGACTGGTACACATGATGAGAAAATTGTATGAAAACAAGCATTCTGATTGATCGTTCAATAATCTGTTCATTAGTACACAGCTTTTGAGAACCGATCATGACAGGTCTTGCCAAAATATCCAAAGGAGCAACCACAAAACTTTTTCTCCTAAGATACCAAAACAAATGGTTTTCATGTAATTAGTATAGTATTTTTACCATGCATGACCACCCATGCTCAAGAAATAAAATCATACCTTACAATACAATACATTTTCGTACTTTTAGTAACCTGTTCGTGTTCAAGATGGGGCTATTATGCAACAAAACCCCAAAAACTGGACAATAATTTATCTGATTATTAGGAACAATATAATTTAATGTAAATCCGTATACATAAAAACTAGGAACTGTGATCGCGTTGCAAAGATAGCATTTCAACACTGTCTATCTTCTTTGTGAATATTATGTAGTTAGCTGGCCAAACAATGGCTGTATTTCCCAAGCATCCATTTTTTAGTAATAATGTTACATTTGTCTTCTTTCAGATTGATGCTTTGCAAGAAGTGCTAGAAAAACTTAAAAGTAAAAGACTTCCATTATTTGAAAAGAAATATGGACAGGTGCCCATGGTAAGTAACGTGTGTTACCGAGTTAGTTTGCAGATATCAATCCTTTTTCACATTTACGTTTCTGCATCTGTTTGAAAGAAAAATTTGGTGTATTGACTTATATCTCCTCCTGATAAACAGACTGGAATATAATCGGTATATAATCTGACCTGGACTAATAAGCATAAAGAATTTCAGAGATACATTTCCAAAAGGAAGGCATTGTGCATGTCTCAAACAATAGGGGCATTACAAAACAAGAGAGATAAGTAGAACTAAAGGAGAACATTTTTTTTATTTGGATACACTGGGACGTCTTATAACTACTGTCAGAATTACAAAGCAATTACATATATATATGTGATTGCTTTGTAAAAAAGTATGTAAAAAAATACTATGAAAAGTGTGACACCATGGGGTTGATTTACTAAAGGCGTTGGGGTTGATCTGCTAAAGGCAAATAGGCTGTGCACTGCAAGTGCTCTCCAAGTGCAGTTGCTCTAGATCTGAGGGACACATGGAAAGAAAATAAAAAAACTGCATTTTTACTTGCACATGATTGGATGAAAGAATTCAGCAAAGCTTCCCCTCGGATCTAAAGCAACTGCACTTGCGGTGCACTTGCAATGCACAGCCTATTTGCCTTTAGTAAATCAACCCCAATCTCTTTAGTTTGGGAGTATTCAGAGGACTATAAGTAGAAAGTAAGGAAAGAAGGAGTATGAAAGACCATAAACAGACCTGAGTCTGATGTGGAATAAAGTACAAAAAGAGTGGCAAAGAGAGAGAATAAGAAAGAAATACAGGCTGAAGGGGGGGGCTTGGATTTTGGACTATGAGGAAAGGAGGATAGAGGGGACAAGGGAGATGGATTGGGCAGAATAAAAGAGAGAGGGAAGAGAGAGAGGGATAGGATATGGACAGACTTCTCAGTACTTTAAAGGGTTAATTAGAGGGAGAGAAGAGAGCGATCAATGTTCACTTGGCTATTGTAATGCAGACAAGGAGTTCATATTTTAAGAAATGAGTGAGTGTTATAAAGTCTGGCAGTGAGTTTTTCATGTACCATAGTACCCATTAGGTGGACTACTGTTTTTGTTTCTTTTTGCCATCTGTATCCCATTGGAGAGATTTTCCTTCACGTCATGTAAAAGAATAGCAACTCCTAAGCTTCATTATAGACTTGTTAAAGGGGTAGAGACACTAACTTCTACAAGTAAATGTTAACACTGAGTGATATAACAAGACAGAAGATGATCCAATCTACCAGCCCCCACTGAAAATTACAATAAAACTATCAAATAAAGAAGGCCTTTAAAGGCATATCAGTGTATTTTTTAGATATTATTATTATACAGGATTTATATAGCGCCAACAGTTTGCTCAGCGCTATGCGTAGATTGTTTACTTTAAATGTGCACCTGTGCCAAGACTATGAATTTTATATTATTTAGATATTCTTTAAAAGTTAAGTAAGCTTTAAGGCAATCCATTCCTGAGCTCTGTAGCTGCTTGTAGTGTGAAGTAATTATATCTCAAATGTCCTCAAAGATCACAACAAAGACAATCGTATGTCCTGTGTGAATGAGACCTTAACAACACCTGCTGTTTGTTTATTTGGGCAGGCTGTCAAGAATCAGATGCTATAGAAAATTAATAAGAAAACTAAGATTTCTGTATTTCTATAATGAACGTTAAAGGGAAATTTCTCCATGATGCTTATGGCTAAAGGGGTGAGTGTGGGTTTGTCTGAGGTTTCGTTCATACTACACAGGTGTGATGTAGGGCACACACTTCTTTTGTGCATTTCTGTGCATCACCCATTTTAAAAAGTGTGCCATGTACTGCAATACCATGTGTTTTGCACACATTAATGCACAGGTGTGAATGAAGCTTTGATGTGATTTCACTGCTTGCTCAGAATATGAAACTACTCTAGTGTGCATAGTTTTGGCACAGGTTCACTTTAAAGTAATTTCTTTATGTAACTTTATTGAAGACAGCAACAGGTACAGATCTTGGCCCTCCGTCCCACTGAGGCCATGTTCCAGAATCACAGCATCAACCTTATTTTGGGTTATTTCACCTGCACAGGAACTCAAAAAAGGCATTCATTCCAGGGATTGGGGTCATGAGCGGGCAGTCCCCACATATTTAGAGGTGGGGTTTGGGCAGGACCATCTCCACAAAATGGGTGTGGTAGATGGCCACTACATATTTAGAGGTTGAGTTTTAGTGTGATTTGGGTCCATCTACCCAGAAAGTGGGCAAATAAAGTGTAGTTCTTGAAGAGGGTTATCACTGTTCCAGAATGTAGGAAAATAATGTTGGTAAACGCCCTTTAACATTTGGGTAGAATAAACACAGAAATGGTCAGTGTTAGAAAAGGATAAAACTAACTAGGTGGCTTGCAAAAATAGGCCAGTATAAAAAACCCACAAATATTAGAAACACAAAAAATTGCAGTGGCAAAAGAACAAAAGTAATAAATAAGTATATGCAAAGTATAAAAAACATCAAATGAACATTCATGAACTGACGCTTATTTTTCTCTTTACCTTTTTAAGTAACCCAATTTATGAACTGTTAGTATCCACACAGGGAGTGCTTTCTATTCAATGGGTCAGCCAGGCCTTACAACCGTATTGTGAGAAGGAGCAGTAAAACACAACCACCTTGTAGCCCCGCAACACAGCAAACAAAATCTGAATGTTTACTGAACATAGATGGTTTCTCTTGTGTACATATATTACAAAATATACATTGAAACAGTGTTTAAAATATTGGTATACATACAAGTTATATTCATACAACTTTTTTCAGTTTTTATTGTTCAGTCACGTGACCACGCAGCATTCTTGCATATCCTCTTCTGATTGGCAGGGGGTGGGCAGTTCATTAAATCAGAGACAGGGAAGGGGGTTCCCTGTCTGTAAGCTGCACTCCAGAACCATGTGCCTTAATTGCTCCACACCCTACTGGCTGCAGCTGCAAAAGGCAATCAATCAGCAAGGCAGGACTGGGGAGGTGTGACTGATAAACAGCCATGTGAGCACGGCATCCTGTGTCTCCAGACAATAAACCCAAGGGCGCAGACTGACCGCGCAAGTGCGGATCTGCTTACATGCTCTGTGTGGTCAGTTTCCAACAAAGAAGAAGGGAGACTGACAAGATCACTAGATATTTCTTAAGAATGGCAATAGGTAAAAAGTAGAAGACTGTTTGAAAGGTATATACAATAAAACATTAAAGGAACACTTTTGAATCAGAGTATAGCATCAAGTCAATTAAACTCCTGGGATATTGATCTGGTCAGTTAAGTAGCAGAGGGGGTTGTTAATCAGTTTCAGATGCTTTGGTGTTAATGAAAATTAATAACAGGTGCACTAGATGGGTAACAATGAGATGATCCCCACAACAGGAATGGCTTTACAGGTGGAGACCACTGACATTTTTTCCCTACTCATCTTTCCTGACTGTTTTTCACTAGTTTTACATTTGGCTAGGGTCAGTGTCATTACTGGTAGCATGAGGAGATATCTGGACCCTACACAGCTTGCACAGGCAGTCCAACTCCTACAGGATGGTACATTAATACGTGCCCTTGCCATAAGGTTTGCTGTGTCTCCCAGCACAGTCTCAAGGGCATGGAGGAGATTCCAGGAGACAGGCAGTTACTCTAGGAAAGCTGGACAGGACCGTAGAAGGTCCTGAACCCATCAGCAGGACCGGTATCTGCTCCGTTGTGCAAGGAGCAGCAGGATAAGTACTGCCAGAGCACTACATAATGACATCCAGCAGGCCACTGCTGTGAATGTCTCTGACCAATCAGAAACAGACTTCATGAGGGTGGCCTGAGGGCCCAACGTCCTCTAGTAGGCCTTGTGCCCACTCTCTGGCACCATAGAGTTCGATTGGCATTTGCCAGTAAACACCAGAATTGGCAAGTCTGCCACTGGCACCCTGTGCCTTTCACAGATGAGACCAGATTCACCCTGAGCACATATGACAGGCGTGAAAGGGTCTGGAGACATCGTGGAGAACGTTATGCTGCCTGTAACATCGTTCAGCATGACCGTTTTGGTGGTGGGTCAGTGATGGTCTGGGGAGGCTTGTCCATGGAGGGAATGCAGAGACCTCTAAAGGCTAGACAATGGCACCCTGACTGCCATTAGGTATCGAGATGAAATCCTTGGACCCATTGTCAGACTTACGCTGGTGCAGTGAGTCCTGGGTTCTTCCTGGTGCATGACAATGCCCAGCTTCATGTGGCAGTTCCTGGAGGATGAAGGAATTGATACCATTCATTGACTCCCCACTCGCCTGACCTAAATCTAATAGAACACCTCTGGGATATCATGTTTTGGTCCATCCGATGCCGCCAGGTTGCACCTCAGTCTGTTCAGGAGCTCAGTGATGCCCTGGTCCAGATCTGTAGGGAAATATCCCAGGACATCATCCGTTGTCTCATTAGGAGCATGCCCCAACATTGTCAGGCATGCATACAAGTGTGTGGGCCACACAAACTACTGAGTACCATACTGAGTTGCTGCATCATTTTTTCACTTTGATTTTCCGAGTGTCTTTGAATTCAGTCCTCTGTAGGTTGATAATTTTAATTTCCATCAAACAATGGGGCATCCTTACATTCCTAACACATTACCCAGTCCATATCAGTATAGATATCCAGCATGATGTTTTTCCCCCCATTGAGAACTGATGTGTTTTCAAAGTGAGCAGTGTATATTGAAACACACATAGATTAACGAATAGGGTAACATGCACTTTAAGAAGGTGATATCATCCATTAAAGATGTAAAATATTACCCTTTACACAATGCACTGTACACAATATAGATCGTGAAAAATAATAGGGGTTTCTACAGCCCTTTACTGGAAGGGTAAATAACCAAAAAGTAACAACTGCATGCAAATATTAGGAAACTTTAACCCCTTCCCACCCAGTCCTGGTGTCCCTTTAAAATGGTCTGTATGCCTGAGGGTGGGAAGACCGATCATGTGACCTCTGTGATTGTCTGTCACAGTGGAAACATAAATGGGAGCCGGTTCTGCCGACTTCTGATCATTAGTATAGTTACATAGTTAGTCTGGATGAAAAAAAGACAAAAGTCCATCTAGTTCAACTATAAAAAAAAGAAGAAAGTTATAATCCTACACCCACAGTTGATCCAGAGGAAAGGCAAGAAAAAACCCTAGCAAAATTATGAACAAATGTGCTTCTGCAGGGGAAAAAAATTCCTTCCTTATTTCCTGAGAGGCAATCAGATATTCCCTGGATCAACTTTACCTATAAATGTTGGTGTCCAGTTATATTCTGTGTATCTAGGAAAGAATCCAGACCTTTTCTAAAGCAATCTACTGATCTGGCCAGAACCAACTCTTGAGGAAGTCTATTCCACATTTTCACAGCCCTTACTGTGAAGAAACCTTTCCGTATTTGGAGATTAAATCCGCTTTCCTCCAGACATAAAGAGTGCCCCCTTGTCCTCTGTGATGACCTCAGGGTGAATAGCTCTACACCGAGTTCACTATATGAACCACTGATGTATTTATACATGTTGATCATTTCCCCCTTAATTTCCTCTTCTTAAAAGAGAATAAATTCAGTTCCTCTAATCTTTCCTCATAGCTGATCTCCTCCATGCCTCTTTATCAGTTTGATTGTCCTTCTCTGTACTTTCTCTCAGTTCCCCAAAGTTTTGTGAATTGGTGAACAAAACTGAACTGCATATTCCAGATGAGGTCTTACTAATGATTTGTACAGGGGTAATATGATATCTCTCTCCCTCTGGAGTCTATACCTCTTTTAATACAAGAGAGGATTTTGCTCGCTTTAGAAACAGCAGCTTGGCATTGCATGCCATTATTAAGTTTCTGATCTACCAGAACTCCCAGATCCTTCACCATTGATTCCCCCAGTTGTACCCCCCTAGTATGTATGAAGCACAAATATTCTTAGCCCCCAAGTGCATAATCTTATATTTATCAACATTAAACCTCATTTGCCACATAGTTGCCCAATTAAACAGCGCATTGAGGTCGGCTTGTAAGTTGGGAGACATCCTGTAAGTACGTTATTCCCCTGCAAATAGTTACATAGTTAGTCAGGCTGAAAAAAAGACAAAAGTCCATCCAGTTCAACCATAAAAAAAAAGTTATATAACAAATATGGACCAAGAACTATCTTTGACGACTTGGTCACTGTGCTGGGAGTACACAGTGAGCTCTGCCAGCCGTAGACACATACACTCACCGGCCACCCACCATTTGCAGGAATTTCCTCTCACTTTCTGATTGGCTATGAGACTGGAAGTGAAAGGAAATCTCCACAATGTGACTCCGATGGAAAAAAAAAAATTTGACAGGGGTTATAATGCTCCCTTGCTCTAACCGAAATGAAAAAAAAAAGTTATTCCTATAGTTCTACTTTAATATGATTATGTAAAATCAATAGCAACTGTTAACAAGTCATTCTATTTGCAAACAAGACATAACATGACACAAACGCAGCAAGAATCTGCTCCTGGAATTTCCCTTCAAAAAGTAGATTATATATTTATGTACCCCCCACCTCTGCAACACTCATTTGATTGGAGAGCCACAATCACTGTAGAGAGGTACATCATGACAGGGTATTGGCAGACATGAATATTCTTAAGGTACTTTGTTTTCTGAGCTTCAACCCCTTTCTGACTGTATACACATTTATGCTGCGGGCATTAATGCTCAAACATTGCACATGTGTGCACAAGGCCGCATGATGTTGTGTGCCGAGAGCACGTTTACTGTGCGTTCCCAGCACACTGACCAAGTGGCGAGCAGTCACTGACAGCTCTTGATCACTGCTTCTAATCAGGAGCAAGCAGCATTGTGATAGATAGCGGACACATGATACAGAAGCTGCATTGCCTCCCAGGCATTAAATCCCAGTTAAAGGGCTGGCGGAGGCAGTGTTAAGGGGTTTAAGGAGCATCTGTGGCCAGGCTATGGGCATTGAAATATTTATTTATTTCTAACAAGCAGTAAATTATCACAAAGAAACCCCCACTAACCTCTGTAGCTGTAGGCACTGTGAAACACATCATACTTAAAGTTCATAGTAGAAGCTCTAAAGTCATCCCATTTGTTCTCTCTCAATAGCTCAGGTCCCATGTGCCCCTGCTCTGAGCTAATTTCCTCTGTTTACGTTAGAGATTAGAAAAGGCTGCTGAAGAACTGCTGGGATGGGAATAGAGTCGAGCTGCTGAGAAAACAGCTTGAAAGATTATAATGCTTGTGTAGGATTAGCAGGCGATTTAGGTATATTGAGACACAATATGAAAAAAAAGGCACATATGGAAGACATCACATTTTAACTTCAAATCAATAAATGGCAACTTTATGTTTGGGTTCTCTGACACATGATAATGTTTTGAGCTGCGGTTTGTAAATGGTCCCATGATCCTGAATGTAATGCCTGTGTTGTCATTGCAGTGTGATGCAGGAGAGCAGTGTGCCCTCCGGAAAGGTGCACGGATTGGAAAACTCTGCGACTGCCCTCGAAGGACCTCTTGTAATACGTTTCTCCTAAAGTGTTTATGATTTCCATCTTCTCTTTGACCACCTTTCCAGCTGACATCCTGAAGAGAGCCTGAGACATAGAGGTCCTCTGACTTTTTACATGAAATTGTATATTTTTTTTTCATTACAATGAGTGTGCTATACTGTGAAGCACATCTCTATTTATGTTATAATTCTGTATTGTATGATTTTTATATGTTCTATGTCAGTAAATATATTTTAATGCAAATAAGCAGAAAGTGTAATAAAGATTTCTTTTTTCTCTATATTGTATTCTCACCTAATGCCCATGGCTGGAGTGTCCATTTCTATTTAGCTGTTTATAATCTACATATACTAAAAATTAAAAAAAAAAATTTTGGTCAGTTTATCAGTTCCAGTTATAAATATGTGGGATGTCAGCTTCAGATCTTGTAACCAAGTTGGGGTGGGGAAGGGCAGTTGAAGCAAGCATTCAATAACAGCATTGTCTTTTTGCCAATCATGGCACCATTTAAAAGTATGCAAAATCTCAAGGCACCACAGTCTAAAATGTTAATCAATGGGGAAATGGGCAATTATCAATGGGAGCCTGGGACAGGGGCGGACTGACAACTCATGGGGCCCCCGGACAATAGAGGATCATGGGGCCCCTGTGTCCTTGCCCAAACTAAAAAAAGCCAATGAAAAAGGTACCAGGGGCATCTCATGGGGCCTTCTACTGACCCTGAGCCCTCGGGCACTGCCAGAATTTCCAAATGGTCAGTCCGCCCCTGGCCTGGCACACAACCACCTTGATGAAATTAGCTTACCATCAGAGGTCTCCCCATCACATCAAAGTTCCCCCCATCACATCAAAGTTCCCCCATCACATCAGAATATCCCCATCACCACAGATCTCTCACCCCAATTAAAGATTCCTCTCATCCATCTCTAGCCCAGGGTAAAATAAGTCTGTTATTTGCAGCACCCTGTGGGGAAACCAAAAGGGCACCCCAAAGTGTCAAAGCACCCTGGTTGAGAAACATGGCTCTATAAATTCTTCACAATGTGGGTGTGGTTTTGTTTCCCTCCCCCTTCCCCATACTGGACCTACATAAGTTAGACCAAATTTAAAAAAAGGCAACAGGGTCTACCAAGAAGGTTTAAAGGGTGAAAGGTTCTTATTTATCATTTTTCACATATTCTTCAATAGGTGTTTACAAAGACATTGTTTTATTATTTTTGTATTAAAATGAAAAATATTATTTTATTCAAAAAAATACAAAATATTTTTTAATTTTTTTAATGTGTGTAAATCTGTGGTGACACAAAGGTCGCAAAGTAGAATCCTGTGTGACATTTAAAATACACCTGTCATGAAATAAATATGTGGGCTGCCATTGCTGACCAACTTTTGAAAATGTTAGTTGTCCTATTGCTTCAGTATTTGATAAGCCACTGATTAGGAACAAGCATTCTGATCAGGTCTGAATCCTATACCTGCAAACTGCTTCCAGGTTAGAAATTCAAGAGACTCACCCAAAAGGATTAGCATGATAGGAACTTAAAAGAATCCCTCATTATTTAGTAAGCTATCACAACATAAAGTACACATTCTACATTATATAAACTGCATAACATGCAACAAGAAGGGTGGAGAAAATCTCCAAAAATGTGAGGGATACCTTAGACAGTTGCCACTATTGGAAGATATACACTCATCTTTGATCTTTCTTTAGATTTTGCATCACTTTCTGTCTAGGTGACAGTGGCCATTAGGTCATATAGAAAGGGGTAATCTCAGCAATTGGGACACATACAGCAATAAAAACGTGACAGAGGGTCTAAAACATTACCACAGTTCTCAAAACTTAAAAAATGCTGCCTTTATATGCTTTTTACATGCAATAACATCAGTTGTAACTGTGTAGTCAATTGTAGTTGACTGACATTCAAATGCATGACTGTCCATGTGTTTCTGAAGAGCCGACAACACAGGAAAAAAAACATTCCACGAAAAATGAAATTAGACACTTTTTTGGCCACAAATATTTTTTAGAACTTTTGTTATTTAGTTAAAAGTATCACCAGAACAGGAGAATCAGACATCGGTAACAACAACATACCATAGGATTTCAAATAGTATACAAAAGGAAAAGGCATATTGCAACTGACCAAGTTACAAAAATCAATGTACACAGTACAGAGAAATGCGATATATTAAAAAGCAGCTCTAACTGTTGGCCTATGGTGTTCAGGGAAGAACCCAGAAGCACAAAATGGGGAAGTAGAGCCCAGGGATGAAAGAAGGGGGGTAGGAAGGGGGAAGGACTCCAACCTGAGGAAACCACAAACCTATAAAAAAGGGTAGATGTGAGAGAAAAAAAGAGATCGGGGAAATGTTCATAGGAGCAAGTAGATATGTATGTAAGTTCCCATAATGTTATGCATAGGAGGGGAAGGTGAAGAGAAAAAAGTTGATGTTATGAAAAGGGGGCATTAATTACATTTGGGTGAGCATTTAAATTCTTCCCAATAATACATTTTCTTTGGTCTGCAGACTTATGTCTGAGGGCACGATAAGATCTTCCATGGTTTGGATATTGTTCACTCTAGCAAAACCACTGTTGAAGTGTTGGAGTGGTTGATTGTTTCCAGGTACTAGAGATACATGCCCTAGTGGCATTCAGTAGATAAATTAATAAGGATTTCTTGCATCTTTTCCGTAGTATGGGTGTATGGGTGAGAAGGATGGCAGCAGGATTATCAATCAGAGAGAATCCTGTAAGTTGTTTTATTATCTCTGTAACCTGTAGCCAGAAGGGTTTTACATGGGACAGTCCCATGAGACGTGGATGACAGTTAGCCTGTATGTGTTTCTTAGTGCCAGAAAGTGGGACTTGTGAAAAAAATTTGGCAAGAACTGATGAGGTCTATATTATCTGGTCATTATCTTATAGGAAATCTCCTGATAATTATTACAGATTGAGGCTTTGTGGGCAAAGAACAGTATTCTACTAGTTTGGTTTTCCATAAATGTAAACTGTAGGTCCCTCTCTCATTTAGTGAGAAATCCATTTAGTGTGAATGTGTAGAAGTTGGTATGAAAAAGATAAAGACTGGTGTCTAGCCCTAGAGTCCTGACAAACCTATAAAGGACAAGAATTTTCTCAGGAAATAGTGAGGTTTAGGCAAGCAAAGCAGAAAATGTGATAAGTTGTATGCACCAAATGTTTAGCTTAGGCACACTGTAGGTCAGAAAGTAGAAGCCAGGATGCCTCTGCCAAACTACACTGTCATTAAGACTGCTTCCCATACAGTAATGAGCCATAAACGTATACATTGACCCCCACATAGCTGCCTTGTAGATAGTGTCTGGGCACACAACTTCTGCTGCCGCTCACAAAGTCAAGACCCTTCGGTTGGATAGTGAAGTGATCCCCCATGGCACAGCCAACCCTTTCAACTTGTAGGGCAAGGAGATGAGCTTCACCAACCAGGAGGCAATAATCTTGTTGGAAGCCATAAAATCATTACACACTCCACCTGGAATGACAAACAACTGCTACGACTTCCTGATGCTAGATGTCACCTTGATGTTAAATTTTAAAGCTTGACCCACATCTCATGGGCTAACTTCTTGGATACACCCCAAGAGGGATGCAGGAAGGACTATTTTCCATGTAATATGGACTATGAAGGCCACTTTGGTACAATCTTGAGCATCAGCATGAGTACCACCCTGAATGCAAGAAAGGGTTCTTTAAACCCCAGGGCCGCTAATACAGACACTCTTCTGGCTGATGTAATTGCCACCAGCAAAGAAGTTTTCAACGAGAGGTACCACAAGTGGCCATTTTGATTGAAGGCATCTGATGCAAACAAGTCAAACAACAATAGGAGATCCCTCTGCACAAACAATCCCTTAGGTTGGTTTCAACCAAGTTGCAGCTTGAAGGCCAGTATAACTGAGTGTTGGATGCCCATTGTATGCCGGTGAAGGCAGAGATAGCTGAAATGGTTCCCATAGCATACTTATGCATAAAGCTAAATCAAGCCTCACATACAGAAACTTTAGAACTTGACAGACTTGTGGAGAGCCCAGTGTAAAACCCTGATAAGCAGCAATCTTGTGAATTTATGTCATATTCTACTATAGGCACTGTTAGTGTTCTTCTTTGCTTTCATAAGAGTATTCACAACCTTTACAGAGCCCCCAAGATCTAGTAGCCTCTGCCTTTCAAGACCCCAGCCATGAGCTTGAGCCTGTCAGGTGTTGGACGAATGTGACTTCGGAGAATCCGATCTTACCAACAGAGGGAGTGGATCCTTGGCACTCATTAGGAGGGCAGAGGGTACCAAGGCCCCTTCAACCAATCTAGGATACCACCAGATTAGATCCTTGGCACTTATTAGGAGGAGCAGAGGATACCAAGGCATGTGTTGGGTGTCATCATCCTCATTTGTGGTTGCTTAAACAAAGCAAGATTCATATTATCAAGTCCATTTGTCTTTTCTTCTTCTTGGAGAGTCTGAAGAGGCTGTTCTGCCTGGGAAGGCTATGAGACTGCTCCTTGTTAGAAACACATAACCCCTTCACAGGGTGAGTGAAACATTTACATTCATGTTTATTTGTGTCTTCTTTTTTGAAAAGTCTGAAGAGGATTGTCTTGCTTCGGAAAGCTCTGGGACTGCTCATTGCAAGACAATCCTTTTCACATTGTTTTGCCTGCTGCTTAAAGCCACTAACACCCCCCCCCCCCCCCCCCCCCCACCCAGTAATTTAACAAAGTAGAAAATAGCTTGCTTAGTAACAAAAAAAAATAAAGGGTTAACCACTGCTAGAGGAATGCTGATACTTCAGCTTCCAACCATAGCCATGAAGTCTGCCAGAGAACAGGACATGATGAAAATGTTTTGTTGACCACTTGCCCTCCTGAGGATTTACCCCTCCCCCCTCATCATCAGGCCACTTTTTGCGTTACGGCACTGCGTTACTTTTACAATTGCACGGTCATGCAACACTGCACCCAAATGAAGGTTACATCTTTTTTTTCCCA